TTTGGTATTCTGTGGGTAAGGAATAGAGAGGGAGTGTTCGTGTGATGAAAACCAAAAAGAAAGGAAGGGCATAAAAATGAGAAACATCAGAAATGTGGTAGGGATGAAATTCAGTTATTTCCATGACCATCATTGCCACAGCTGTCAGGGGGATGAAGCTGCCTCTAATAAAGGCTGATCTGAGCAGCCTCTGCCTTTCATGGTCTAACATGAGATCTCTTTTTTGTTTAAATTAAAATAATACATACAGACATGACAAGCAGATAATAGGAACTGGAGGAGAACGAATGCAGCATGGTAAGCAGGAAGGTGCAGGAATTATTCCACACTGCCAACCCAAGAATAGTAATTCCCTGGAGATCTCCAGGTTTTGGCCACCCTCCACTGCCTTTCTGCACACCAAGAGCTCCATGGCCAGGCTGGGCTCTGCGAAATCTCTCTTCCCATATGCCAGCTCCTAAAATAGCTGTGGGGTTGTGCCTTCATGGAGGAGCCTATTGGGTTTTAATTCGGAAGGTGTTGCTACTGCAGGTGCCTGGTATTGTGATTTTAAGAGGTGATGATCTTGTCAAACCAGGTTAAGGTGAAAGCAAAGCTTTAAAATGCTATTTATGAAACCCATAATAAGCAAAGCAGTTGGAAAGGTGTACAAAGAGAACTAATAGTAAGATGTAGGACACAGGTTTCATCTGCTTCTCCCGAGAGTGGATTCCACACTGCTCCAGCTGACGGGCAGGTCCCTCACACATCTTGCGTGAGCTGCCAGGAGAAGAGCTCTGTTGCCTCCAGCATCCTCTGGTTCCCTGTGCTGGGAAGAGAGACTCTGTCTGACTCCTGCCTGTGCTAGCTCTGGAGATGACTAGTGTAATACTAAAGGAGTATGGAACTGGGCTGTGCACTTAGTTCTCCAGAATTTCTTATGGCCACAGTCTCACAGGGAAGATAATCACCACGTGTTGGTGACCACCAGCTTCGCATCAATCTCTTTCACCACTGTGGGTCCTTTACGTCAGTGAGTTTTATCACTGCCTTTGTTGGACTAAGCCAAGTAGAAATTAGTTTAAGTCACTGCTGTTCTTTAAAAATAACGCCCCAGCCTTGTGCTGGGATGGTGCTGTCAATGTGCCACGTGTCTTCTTTTTCAGAAGTTCTCGCTTTGTGTTGATTGCCCAGATCCCGTCAGAGGGTCGGAGTTCGTCGGTCGCGGTGATTAAAACCTGTCTCACATTTTTGGTTTAGGTTACATTGAAGAGCCTTGCACGGTCCCTTGCCCGTTTGATTGCAGACTAAGCGATTGGTCCAGTTGGTCTCCTTGCAGCTCCTCCTGTGGACCGGGGGTGAAAGTCCGCTCCAAGTGGCTCAAGGAGAAGCCGTACAATGGAGGCCGTCCCTGCCCGAAGCTGGATCTCAAGAATCAGGTGAGTGGTGTTAAAACAGCCAACAGAAGTCCCTCTGTGCTTGCTGTGTTCTGAATTGTGATCCAAAGGTACTGTGCTGGTGAAATTAAAAACAGGAGGTTTCTCTGGGACCAAACCTTGTGTCACATTTTTTAGGCAATCCTCGAACTTCTTAAGGGTTGAGGGAGAGGTGCTCAGAAGTTGACCTGAAACACCATATTTCTTACAGGAAAAAATTATCTCCCAGAGCACAGGAAACCCTGGATTAATAATCCCACCTGGACAGTGTGTAGACATCAGACAGCTCAACTGTCATGGCTATTTTAAAACTTTTTAATTCTTTCAGAGACTATGGTTGCTGTAGAAACATTTGGTAAATATATATTACTATTTTTAGCAACATTTCACTTCAACACAGCACCAGTTCCCTTGAACATTAATCTCTGTATATTCAATATTGAAGTATCCCATCAGAGGAAAATAATCTTTAAATTGCTACTCTTAAAGAAAGATCAGCATCTATTTAAATGCTACTTAATGCTGTATGCATTTCTGCAAAATGAATAGTGATTTCCTACATTTGCTGATTAATTCTCAACACTAATTAACACTGATGAAGTGCTGTTTAGTTTTGCCTGTCCTATATTTCAGATTCAGCCTTGAAAATCAATTAATAGGGCAGAAACAGTCATGCTGAGGGAACTTCATATATATGCTATGAATATGTATATGTATAAAATATGTGTCATGTAGAAGTACTTCAGTGGTATTCACACAGAGATTTATTTGTGTAGTGGTTGGTAAGTGCCAGAGCTGGTGGATCCAGTTGCTCATCTGCACAACCATTGCTGTAGGAGTCATGTCCTGGGATGCAGGACCACTTCCTCATTATGACCTTGCCTCATTTTGTTCACAGTTAATTTTTTTTTCCCTGTGAGAAACTTGGTAAATACTCCTTTTTTTTTTTTTTTTGATCCTTTTTCCCTGTTACTATTTGAAATTCATCGGAAGTAGGCTGACAGAAGCAGCAGGGACTACGAAAGTATAAAACTGCAATAAAGTGTGTGTTGTCCATAGCTCAGTGCTTTCCTTAATAGATCAGACAGATCACCAGAGAGGCAAAGTGAAATCCCACAGTAAGTCATATGGTAACAATAAGCTCCTTTGTAATGAAAAGATACTGGGGTTTGTTAGCCACAGACACAGCAGACTCTTTCCATTAAAAGCAAACTTATTGCTATCATGTGTTGCCTATTCCCACACACGTTAGAGTTGCTAGTTTCAAAAGCCTTTCAGAAGATATTAAAGGAAAGAAATTGTTTAAACTTGGAAGTTATGTCCTTTGTACAGTTTATTGGTGCGTGGTGCTTGCAAAGTGCCATGGCTGGTATTAATATAAACGTGGTTGGTGCTTTTTGCCTCTTTACCCAGGAACACACGTCGTGATCTAAAACCCACAGAATTCATTAGAGGCTTTCTGTTGAGGGCTGTAGGAGTGACACTGTAGTAGAATTGCATTAAGGTCTGTTTCCTTAGGTTTGTGGCTTCTTCTCTTTCAGTTTTGGTTTGGTTTGGTTTTTTTTTTTTTGGTTTGTTTGTGGGTTTCTGGGGATTTTTTCTTTCTTTGCCTGTGAGTTTGAGGTTTTTTTAGGGTAGAACAGAAACTATATCTAGCTTGTTTAGTGCACAAATGGATTTTATCTTTCCAGTTTAGATTTATAGGATTGATCATATATATATGTATATATTTTGGAGCTTTTAGGGTAAGAAGAACTTCTTGTGCTAGTAAGGAAAGTGTGTTCTTATGGAGCTCGTTAGCCCTGTAAGGCAATCCATCTACGTCCTGAGGACCTCGCTGCCACCGTCCAAGCGTGCTTGGCCCCGGCAGATGAACCTCAGGATTAAAGGGTGGGCTCAGTTCCGCGCACACTGTGTCTCACCTAAAAAATCCAATGCGCAGGCTGGAAGGTGGAAAGACCTTCCCCGGTTCTTCGTTCGCGAAGAGACTG